AAAGACCTCTTTTCCACAGAAAACCATGCCAGCCTAATCTGGTTACGCTTGGCACATGCTGCGTGGCCAAGTTAAACCAGCTGCCATGGCCTCTAATAATGGAACCGATTACTAGCATCCCAACAAAGACCCTCATTTAGAGGCATAAGATTGACCAGTCATTTAGGAAGTGGCTCACAGGAAACCCCAGGAACTTCACGCAGGATGGTGACAAGGTCATTGAATCCAAACCTTTGTCCTGGGATCCAAATGCACTGGATGGAGGGAAGCTGGAGCTAAACCTCTGCCTGAGAGTGACAGGTCCCTGTTCCAGTTCTCCCAGGGTCCGGGTGATGTGTGGGTCCCAGAAGTACTCGCTATGTGAGATCAAGTACTTCCTCTCCTCTTCCCATTTGGCCTAATAATAAACTCTGACCACCTGATGTTTGGGAAAGCGTATTTTAGAGGGTGGATGATGTCAGTTGGTTTTGGTGAACCTGATCAATACTTGGTCCTGAGCAAATTAAATAGTGTATTCTGAGTCACGGTGACACCCTGCACCAATGGCTTCACCATACACTTTCAGCTGTACTTAGGAGACTTGAATTGTTTTTAAGCACTGCTTAACCAACAAACTTCTACCCCTTTGCCCCTTAGTAGGTAGAAGTTGCAGGTATCCTTTCTCTACTCTGGCTGAGTGGCTGTCTAGAATCTGCCATGTCTGACTTTTTATTAAACTTCAGGCTGCACCTCTTTTTGAGACAGCCAATGAGGGAATATGGCTTCCACTCCTGGTGAAGGGAAGGAGAGAGCAACAAGAAAAAAAGCACATGTATGCATGGATAGAAAGTGGACTATCATTATCATACGGTAAACAACTAGATAAACAGATTCATAGGCGCGGGCTTCTCTACAAAGGAGCAGGGAAAAAAGAAAATGCAAAAACACTCCCAACTCCCATCTGTCTACCATTCAGAATAAACCCAGAGCCTCAGATGCATCGTATTTGATGCCTCTAGTCAGTTTGCAAATTGGAAGATATGGATATTGGTTCATCCTTCACACATGAGACATGAGAGAGGTTATTGAAGGACCCAGGCAGGATTTGAGCTCTTTGGAAATACAATGAATTTATTTCTTTATTTGCTCATTTATTTATTTTTGGTACTGGGAATCTAACTCAGAACCTCAGGCTTGCCAGACAGGCACTGCAATGCTGAGTTACAATGAATTTACCGAATGAGGTTTGCCTTTCCTTTCCTGGGTGGTAGTTAAGAGCGTTGGCAGTGGAGTAGGCAGAGCTATTTCCAGTGCCTAGCCAGTCCATGCCGTGGCTCACCACAGGAACTCAGCAAGTGGCCTGCAGGCCTTATTGTGCTCAACTATAAAGTGGACCTAATAATGTTGTTGAAAGTAATAAATGAGATAGTACATTCAAAAGGTTAGATATTTCACCAACATCCTCTGGTTTTGTTGTTCAAAATATGGTCTCACTATATAACGCAGACTGGCCTTGAACTCATGATGCAGTACAGGCTAGCCTCAAACTCACAGTGCTTGCTTCAGCCTCCTGAGTGCTGGGGTTACAGGTGTAGGCCACCACGTCAGGCTACTAATATTCTCTAATTTTAAATACACACCTACCTTGCTTAGTACCTCTTATACCAATCTGCCCTAGTCCTTGCCACTCAAATTTACAGAAGTAATGCAGGGCTTGGGAAGGCATAGGGAAGTCTAGCCTCGACCCTTTACATGAGACATCCCTAGGAGAAGAATTTAGCATTCCCAGCAAATGTTTCCAATTTTCTATTTGGTTTGCATGTTCCTGCACCCAGAGGATAGACTTGAGGATCTCCAGCAGTTAGGCTAATTAAATATAATTTTCCTTTCTGGTGGTTTAGCTGAGTTGGAGGCTTCATTCAGGAAGGAGAGAAAGGATGAGCCCAGGTGAGGGGCATGGGTGCCTTTCACTTCTGAATGAATTCCTCGGATAAAGTGCCCTTTCTGGTAGCAGGACTAACAGGTTCATCTGGAGCTTTGGCTCACTGGTGTACAAAGTCCTTCATAATCTCAGTGCTCACTACAGCCACCCCAGGAGGATACAGGGGCAACCATTGTGTGCCGAACTGGGTTTCACGTCCTCCCACCTGCAAGAACTGGAAATGCAGCTCACACCACGGGGACCTTTCCTCAGCCCTGCAGGGCCAGGGCTAAGATGGTGGCCTCACACCTGCCTCATCTGAGCTGCAAAAAAGGGCCACCTTACCCAACCTCCTCCTTGGCACTCCAGAAATTACAAGGCGGGGGAAATCGCTGGCTGGGAGAAGGGCTGATTTCCAGAACATCAAAGCAGAGAACATCTTTTAAGAAACTGATTCTGAAAAAGATTGCTTTCAATGGTTTTGCTTGTGTTTAGGACACTTCCAGATCTTGAGAGCTTCTGCTGTCTCTCCTTCTTTGAAAAGGTACCTGAAGGGTTTAATGAAGGAAATCAGCGAGGTCCCTTCCACCAAGACACTAAGATGAAGGATGTTCGTGCATGTAGAAGCCAGTGCTAGGGCCAGAAAGAGGTGTTCCAGGAGTGAACACCACCAATTAAGACTTGAAGAAAGAAAAATTATGGACGTTGGTAAAGATTCTTCTCTAAACAGATCTCTATATCATCTGTCTCTCCAGTATTCTCCTTGTGGTCCTCTAGAATGTCTCACTTTCAGCAGTGTGTTGTGGTCACACCTCCCTACCTAGACCATGCGCTCCCATCTGACATGCTAGCTCCCATTATCTTCGCGTTCCGCTCAGAGATGTACAATGCTTGTTTAGAGCTGGCGTTGAATGAATGAGTGGAGATGCACTCAACAACAACATACCGGACTTACCCGACAAATGATCTTGGTTCCAGTGGTGTTTGATAAACTCTCTGATGCCACTTAATTTCATGAAGATAAAAATAAGGAAGATAGAGATATATGTTATTTTGGTGATGTCCCGCCACAAGGAACTATGTGCCTTCCATTCCATGTAGCTCCTTCCTATCTTTGCTCAAGGCTTGGTCAATGTGGCTTACTTTTTGGGTAGTGGAACACTAGCAAATAAAGATTTAATAAGTAACACACACTGGGGTTTATCCAGGATTGCTGGCTCTTAGCAGCGCTAAGCTACCTTGCAAGAAATGTAACTTCTCTACTGGACAGAACATATAGAAAAGTCATGTAAGGATAGCATGTGAAAAGTAAATGGTTTGGTCACTATGAGGACAGAAAGAATAGGCTAGTCATGCCCAGCATCCTAGCCGAGCCTCACCCAGAATGCAGAACGATTAGAAATATTAAAACGATTGTCTTGTAAGCCACAAGGCTTTGGAGAGGGCACAGCAGTAGCAAACTAGAATCATGGCTGTCTTTAGAGAATTGTCTACAAAGTGATATGATGCTTGGTGTGGAGCTTTGTAAATGCCAAAGGCTGAGCATTGGCATTGGTTTCTTATCTCGGGACAGGTACAGGTTCCATTTTGTTCTGATTTACCCCCTTATGTTCATTGAGAATTAACCTGAGGGATTCCCTTCTTATATGAAAAGCAGCACAGTTACCATAGAACTGGATAAACGTAGGTTCCATCACCTCCTCCCTCCTACCTGGGTAACCATCTACCATTCCTTGGACATGCAAGGGCTAGTTGAATGAAAAATGACATGATATCTATAAGTGGACACGTATCCAAAGTGGAAAAGATGTGCCAACTGAGGATTAGTCAATCCATACAAGACATGATAAATTTAAGTCATTTGTAGGGAAATGGTTGGTCCTGATTGGGGGGGGGGGGCTCGAGACAAGGCGAGAGCTTTTCCCTCTCCAGGACAGTGGCAAGGGAATCCCTTCTATCATGAAAAACAATATGTAATACAACCAAAGATTTGGGAAAGTTCACGAAAGACCCTTCCCCCAAGCCCAGCTCACTTTCCTGACACACTCTCGCGTAACATGCCCAGGTCCCTTCTAGCTGCCTACTACTGTTCTTTGAAGTGTGCTTTGTGTTTGTGTACACGCCAGCCCCAAAACTATGAGGTTAGAAATAGGTTTCATTCATCTTTGTCTTGCCGATCCCAGCATAGTCACCGACATACAGCGGTGCTCGATACATACATGGACTGCAAGTGTGAGGCTTCTGGAATCTGAAACACAGCAATCATCGCTCCTTTAGGATACCATATTCCCCCTATGTCGTATTTTACAGTGGGGAAATGTAGAGGATACCAGGTCGTGCATCTTCTTAGCACCTTGTCAGATGAGTCCTGTACCTCTCTGCAGCCCGCCTGGTTCCTGGCTTTCCTGCACTCTCAGGTTCCTGTCTGGGGCAGCACAGGTGGGGTAGGGAACCGGTGGGAAATAAACCCTACTAAGTTGTCACCTCCCACCCCAGGGACTCAGGAACTCAGCCTAGCATAGGACCCCTTCCTACCAGCCTGAGCCAAGTGCCTTCAAAAAAAGAATTTTTTTTTTTTTTTTTTTTTTTTGCCTTCAAATCATTCTGAAGCAGTCTTTCTCAAACTGCCTGCTCTTTAGAACCCTCTGGGTCGCTCTGAAAACGACGAACGCCTGAACATCACCCTACAAGGTCTAATTTACTTGGAGGAGAAGGGTGCCTGGGCATCACGGCCTTTCAAACTGCTCACTTAATTCTCGGGTTGAAAACTGCTAATAGAAATCAATTTCTCTCCTCATCCAAAAAAAAAAAAAAAAAAAAAAAAATTCCTGAGAGCCCAGGTCAGCGGCCCATGCTATTTGGCACCGCGAAGCTCTGCAAGCTCTCAGAAAATCAGCGCGGGCGACGCTGCTAAACAAGCGGCGAGCGCGAGGCGTGGTCGGAGGGCGTGGTCTCCGGCGGTACCGCCCCCGCACGCCTATCCGCGCTCGGTGCGGGCCCTGACGTCACTCTTGTAAGGGCCGAGGCACATGGGCTGCCGGATGCGCTGAGCCGGGCTGCGGGGCTGGGAGCGCGGGGAGCAGCGGCCGCCGGCGCGGGGCGGGGGGTGGGGCGGGCTGGCGCGGCGCCTCGGGGACTGGCGCGTGGGGCCGGGTCGCGCGGTGCCTTCTGTCTTTCTGCAGCCTATATATTTTTTGGTTTTTTTTCTTTTGTTTTCTTTATTTTTTTATTTTTATTTTTTCCCGATTTTGAACATTTTGCAAGACGAGGGGTTCCAGGCAGGTGACAGCATCCTGCGGTTGCCGAGGACCCCGCGGGCACTTCGCGCGCTCTCCTGGTACTGTGTGCACTGAGAACCCTAAAAGTTGCTTTTGGTTTTTTAATATTTTGTAGGCAGATGTGTTTCGAAAGATAAAAGTAAAAAAAATTTTTTTTTCTTCCCTTGTCTGCACCGCTTGGAAAGCGAGTACTTTTGGCAAAGGACGGAGGAAGCGCTCTGCAACATTTCTGGGACTGATTAGCTAGCTAAAAACAAAAAAACAAAAAAGAAAAAAAAATTGAGTGCATCGCGATGGAGAAAATGTCCCGACAGCTCCCCCTGAACCCCACGTTTATCCCGCCTCCCTACGGCGTGCTCAGGTCTCTGCTGGAGAACCCGCTGAAGCTCCCCCTCCACCACGACGACGGTGAGCCCGCCGCGCTCCCGGGTCCCCGCCGCGCCCGCACCCGCACCCGCACCCCGCTGGCCGGCTGCAGCGTGCGCCCTCCGCGCCGCCGAAATCGGGGAGCGCACCCGTGCCCGGTCCTCCTCTTTCTCCTCGATAGAAAGGGGGCGTCCTTCCCGAGCAGCATTTAAAATAGCGCTGGGGGCCTGGCCCGGGCTCCTGGTCCGCTCCCGCGGCGGCGCAGGTGGCAGGTAAAGCTGGCAGGTCGGGGGCTCCTTCCCGAGGCCGCGGGGCAGCGGCCAGGGTTGGGTGGAGGAATGCCCCGGGGCCGGGTTTGGGGTGGGAGCAGGAGGGAGAGGGCCCGACCGCGTTGGGGTGGTGGTGGTGGCTGCTCGTGTTGTTGTTTGGTTCGCCAGGTGTGAGCGCGCGCGTGGGTCCCGCCGTGCAGGGTCACGGAGGCATTGGTGGGGGTGGGGGCGCGGCCGGGGGAGTGGTCCCGGGAATGGGAGCCGCATTTGCCACCCTCGGTGCGACACTTTACCCGTGCACTTTCGTTGGTGGGAGGGGAGAGAGGAGCAGGCTCACGTGTAACTGCTGGAGCCTCCTCTGGCTGGAGCTCTTTCCTGGTAAGTCCCAGACCTCTCCTCTATCACCTCGGGCTGTGGCGGGAGAGGAGGGGTGCGTGGGATGAGCGGGAAAGAACAGAATCCCGCACAGTTGGTCGTTTGGGCAGTCGTGGTTTTGTGTCTCGGTGTTACTGTAAATGATTGCACATCACACGGCGCTTGCATAAAGTCTGGAGAGATTATTTGGCTACCGAGAGTTTGGGACTATTCCCCTACTTTCCTAGAAGTGGACAACCTGTTGCATTGCAAGAGTTGGGGTGTTCTGGTTGCATTCCGCAGATTTTAACCCCACCCCCACCCCCACCCCATCCCCAGGAATAGCACTTGGGAGGAAGGGGCTGCCGGCAGGCTTTGCTGTCTGTGGGTGTTTTAAGTCAGATTCTCAGATGAAACTGTAGAGGGTTAGAATGGGTGGCGGTGGAGGCTGTTTCTCTGAGGAAAAAAAAAAATCAGAAGCAAATTCCTTAATCCCAGATTCCACCCACGCCTGAGTACTAGAATTGGCAAAAGCCAGAGCGCCTGTTAAAGACCTAATCTGGTGAGCGCTGTTTCCCAGGTAGGACATAGCTGCACTGTTCCATCATAGGTATGCAGAATAATCCACCTTTTTCCTGTAGCCCTGCTTTGGACCGGCAGCGTAGATGTGTACTTTTTTTGTGAATTGGCTAACACTTAGGTGTTTGGAGGAGGAGGAAAGAGAAAACACTTTATGTTTATCTACTGCTTTTGTAAGAGACAATGTCCTGGTGGCTCTCAGTTCTTGGTTTTCTCCTCTGATTCCTCAGATTCTCCATGTCTTCCGTGGGAATGGAGATTGATTGCTTTTTGCAAGTTTACTGTGATGTTTTTGAGATAACATACAAAAAGAATACTCAGTACCTGGTGTTAAAGAAGGGTGGAGAGTCCCTTGCTTTCCGGAGATTAAGATTTTTAAAACCATGGTTTTATACATGTGAATGATCACATACTGTTACTGGGATACATTTGTGGGAGAGAAACCAAGCCTGGTGATTGGAAGTTTTCTTAAAAGTCATGGCAGTTGTACATGATCCCAGGTAATCTTTTCCCACTGTAGATTTAAATTACCTCCTCACAGAATGCCCTGAAGACTGTCCTCTTGTTTTTATCCTGCATCAGCCTGTAGCCCCGTTCCACAGACTTGTGCTTTCTTTCCAAAGTAAATAGGAAGATGTTGAAAACCAGGCAGAGATCCATGTCCTGTGTCCTGCCTGAACTTTTTTTTTTTTTTTTTTTTTTTGTCTTTTTCCTTTTTATCGGTACCAGGGATCGAACTCATGGCTGCCTGCTTGCAAGGCAGGCGCTTATGCCACTGAGCTAAATGCCCAGCCCCCTGAACTTTTCACTTCAGAGGCACATAGGACAACAACCAGAGAACCCTGGTCTCAGAGGAGTCACTGTGTAAGGGAGGCTGGGAAGGGTGATAAAAGACTGATACCTTTTCCTTTTTTTCTTTTTTAATCCACCTTTTCCCTTCTTCTGCAGCATTTAGCAAAGATAAAGACAAGGAGAAGAAGCTGGATGATGAGAGTAACAGCCCGACAGTCCCCCAGTCGGCGTTTTTGGGGCCCACCTTATGGGATAAAACCCTTCCCTATGACGGAGATACTTTCCAATTGGAGTACATGGACCTGGAGGAATTTCTGTCGGAGAATGGCATTCCCCCCAGCCCATCTCAGCACGACCACAGCCCGCACCCTCCTGGCCTGCAGCCAGCTGCCTCAGCTGCCCCCTCGGTCATGGACCTCAGCAGCCGGGCCTCTGCACCCCTGCACCCTGGCATCCCATCTCCAAACTGTATGCAGAGCCCCATCAGACCAGGTACACTTCCCTAGGGCTCTCCCTTCAGATGGGATAGACTGAGGGGCAGGGGGGACTGGCGTGAACCCTGACACTCAAAGATTTTAGTGTGCGTCTACTTCACCCCCAGTGGAGGGTCCATTTTAAGGAGCATCCAGCTGTCTCACCTGGAGTCAGTTCATTGCGTGTAGTGGTACAAATTCTGATTTTTCAGGTCTGGGGTGCGAGCTCAGGAACATGCATTTTAAACAGCTCCCCTTAGGATTCTGACACAGCTGTTCTGAGGACTCTTGCTTAAGATATACTGCCCTGCAGTTCATGGTATAGACAAAAGAAGCGTGTAACTCATCTCTTCAGCTCTTCTTTCTGCTGACATACAGATAATAGGGTTTTGCTGGATGATTTGGGTAGGTTTTCTGTAAGGCTTAGTGTACCTACTTCATTGTGTTCTGGTCTGGGGGCGGGGAATTGAGTAGGCCTTTGGGGTAGGTAAGTTTTTTTCATCTTATTTTGTTATTGACTGAGAACTGGAATCTAAAAGCAGGTTCTTATATTAACTTAGAAAGCTTAGCCTTCTGCTAGTATCAGATACCTTCTCTCTGTCTCTCTGTCTGTCTCTCTCCTATTCACATGAACCAAATTGTTCTTATCTTTTGTTTTGCATTTTCATACCTAATCTACTTTTATCATGACCAAAAGGCTGCAAAGTCAGCTATAAAAGATGCAGAAATGTTACACAGAGACGTCACCCTAGGAGACTAGCGCTTTAAAACCCATTATGAAGTACTCAGAGGTAGACTCAACCTGGAGAGCTCTGGACTCATATCTTCAGCACCCCAGAGTACAAACTGAGCAGGAAGCAAGATCATTTCTTGTGCACAGGAAACCAGGAACAAAGATTCTGCCTGGGAGAATGACAGGAAGGTCGAGAAGTGGAGGGCCGTCACCGCAGGGAAAGACTGACAACCATGACAAAGCGAGACTTGTCTTAGAGGTGGTTACTGAACGCTGTGTCCTCAGCGCATGCAGAGATTGCTGTGACACACAGAGTGAGATTTAAATGTGCGGAAGTAAAGGAGGAAGAGAATCCCCCTGCTTTGCTATGTGCGGGTTGGCGTTAAGTTCATCCTTTGAGATGGCTCTGGGCTTTCAAACCTCTCTTACTGCTTCCCCAAACGCATGTTGAATGATAATCATTGGCTCATATGGAATGAAGTGTGGTCCTGTAGCCGCCCTCTGAGAAACTAAGCAAACACTCCTTCATGTGACCTAGCGTCCCTGCTTCAGGGAATGTTTATCTGAACAGACAAGCAAACTAAATCGTGATGCTTCCACGGAGGAGCACAGTCCAGGGACAGATGCATATCCCTAGTGCGTGGCAACATGAGTGCCCCAGTCTTTCTGCTGCACAGTGAGACTCCTGCCTCTTCATAGCTTTGTGGCTTTCAAAATGACGTAGCCTCTTGGACCCTTAGCATCCCTTTGAGTAGAAAGCATAAGGTCTATTTGGTGAGATTACTGTGAAAATTTAGAGGCAATGCATATAAAGAGTCGGATGAGTAGTACACGGTGTCCTGGCATTGGAGGAACCCATGACTGCTATTAATATCAATGTCATCTTTTACCATTTTATTCCAGGTTTCATCTTCTGAAATACCTTCGTAAAATAATTAGGTACATTGTATAATCTTCCTCTTCAGGGAAATATAAAAGCCTTTTGCCCACCAGTTGCTGGATTGGAAGTTGAGGCTTAAGTAATTTGTGAGAGTTTGCTGGAGTCTGTATGGCTCTGTAACTTCCAGAACTTTTGGGATGATCGGGTCAGAGTTGGAAGCAGTGGGTATCATTTTGTTACGTCAGAAGGCACATAATGAGGGTCTGGAAATAAGTTCTTTATTCACATGTCTTTTTTTGCCTGTAATCTGAGAGGCTGAGGCAGGAGGATTTCAAGTTCACCCCAATTTGGGATACATAGTAACTTAGCAAGACTCTGTCTCAAAATTAAAAAGTCAAAACAAAACAGTTTAAAAGAGGTCTGGGAATACAGTTTAGTACAAACATCCTGGGTTCAATCCCCAATGTCACAATAATGGAGATGAACTTCAAAATAATTTTCTTCTTTGAATTGGAAACTCAGTGTCCTAAATCTGATTGGAGAAAAATAAAGGAGGAGGGGTAGAAGGGGTTGAAGGAAGGATAGGGGAAGGGAAAAGAGAAAGGAATAAAGTTATATATGATGTACAAGCATAAATTCCCTATAGGGAATGTGATCATGATGTATACCTAAACTGTACTGATAAACTTAATCAACTTAACAAAAAGATAACCCAGTGTCCAACAGAAAAGAAAAAAAAAGTAAAGTTCTTCTTTACCATTAATGCAGATAGAGTCGCACCCTATTCTTCTTATAATGCTGGTTACTGTAAAGATGACAATGCAGGGTGCATCCCAGGGCTGTGGGCTCCGTGGAGGTTACTGCAAGCAAAACTGAACAGGAAGTTCTTCATTATTCTGTGTAACTCACAGGAGTGACCAGAATAGAAGTACCAAGTGAATCTTGAGGAAAATAAGTCCTCAGAAGGGAAAGGCACAGATGTAGCCTTGAACATTCTGGGAATTGCATAATTTCAGTCTCCACTGGGTTTTCTCAGCCTTGGCTCTGTGACCGGGTAGTCCTGTAGGATACTGTCCTGTGTGGTGTAGGGTATTTAATGACAGCCCTGCCTCTACCCCCTGATGACCTACCCTCCAGCTGTGATGAATAAAAACAGTTTCCATTCACTTCTAAATGTGCCCTGGGAATAAAAACTTACCCCATGGAGGACCAGTGGTCCATACCCAGGACCCAGGATTTAATTCTGGGTCCTGTCCTACCAGTGGTTACTTTTTACTTCCTCTAAAACTTCATGCAAAACCTTTTACTAAGGTTGGGAAGCATTAGGTTGCTAAAAGAAACAGGGAACCAGTGAGCACCCTTGTGCACTTTCAGCGGATAGAAGGAAGTCACCAGTCTAATCGGGAGATAACTGCAGAGCGTTCGCCAAGCACTGATTTTTCAGCTATCTGTTGAAGCATGCGTCTTTTGAGTTATGCTCAGTAGCATTCTGTTGTTAGTTCTGTCAATCTGATTGGAAGGAAACAAAGGCAGAAATTGACAAATTATGCATTTTGACATCTACCTCCAGGGGGTGTTGGAATGACAAGGTGAACATTCTCATGAATTTTCAAAACTGTCTACCATGGTACTCTTCTGTACATCTCAACCCAGTTCCTCTGTCTAGCTCCTTCATCAAAGAATAAGTCAATATCCAAAGAAATATCTTCACAGTTGTCTGTAAAGAATACCCCAAGGACCCAAGGAAACCTGATGTGATCATGGTGTGACTGCCAAGATTTCTGGGTGACCCTCCATGAAGGCAGGAGTGGTGCTTCCTGGTTGCTGTGGCTACCTGCTGAGACTTTGAGGTGTCTGAAGTGGAAGGTTCTCCCTGTCGCCAGAGCATCAGGGATGATGGTAGCTACTTTGAATGATTCTGTGTTTACATTTCAGATGCTATCGGAGGTGGTACGTGGGGTGCCCTCCTGGAGGTATGTGCTGGGTATCAGGAAGAATAAGAATCTGTTTGCCCTGAGAATTGAGCAGTTGGTTTAAGGACAGCTGTCCCTTTAGGGAAAGTCATCTATAGCAGACAAAGGCAGAGTTATTTTTAAACCCTATGCTTGTAAAGCTAGATTTGAAACCGTTTCCTCTGGTGGTTTTTCTTTGAATAGCTTGAGGGTGTCCTATCACTTTGAGGCCCATAGTCAGCTGAGAATTAAGAAGGCTGTCTTTCCAGTTCTAAGCACAGATATCACATTATGATCAAGGCTGGGCACGGAGTAAAGTGAAGCCCTTTCGTGTGCAGTCACGTGTAGGAAGAGCAGTGTTAATGGGAAGCATTAGACCAGGGTTCAGATAGAGCCCACTGTAACTTTTCAGGGTGCCATTTATGTTCTCTTCCTGCCAGCTGCCCTTTGTGACACAGGAATGGAAGGAGAGTACCGGTGAGTGAGATCTGCATAATGATGGAGGGGAGCTCTGTGCTGGTGATTTTGGGGATCATGCAAGGTCCTACTGGGTGAGAAGATGCTCTTCCTTTTCCCACATGTGTTGCCTCTGAAGGGCATGCCGGGTCTTATATTCCCCCATCCAGCAAACAGCAGGCCAGGGGTGCAGTGGGTGACAGCTGCCACACACAGCACCTCACGTCTTAGAAGTGCTTTTCATGCACCAGAATCAGGAAATCACCAAAGAATGGGAGGGAGGAAAGAGGCCACTTTGTTCTGGAGGTCAGTGGGTTGCTTTTCTCTCCGCTAGGTCCTATAGAGGATAGGCTTGCACTGTTCTCTTTTATCACGTTGCTGACATGCACAGCCTAGCAGTCCCTAGCCTCTGCCAAGAGGCATTTTGGGACAGATATAGACATCAAAGATCGGGGATATAGCTCAGTGGCACAGCACTTGCCTGACAAGTGTGAGGTCATGAGTTTAATTCTTGGTACCCACCTCCAAAAAAATGAAATCAAGACCCCTTGGTGGGTAGCAGTGTAGGCCTGGACTCTTGGGGTCTAGGGTTTTCATCCTGGACTGACCGTTGGGTTCACTGTATAACTCTGTGTCAGTTTCTTAACCTCTTTAAGCCTTAGTGTATTCATCAGTAGAGTGGAGATTATAGTCTCTGTCCCATGGGGTTTTAGTGGAGCAAATTAAGATAACACAAAGCAAAGCAGGTCCCTGTGCCTGGCACACACATGCTGAGTGCATAGAGCCCCTGTGAGGGCAATGGCGTGAGAGCAGAAAAAAGCATATCTGGGTTTCCAGCTCTCACACCCCATTTAGGGATTTATTCATCCAGTCCTGTTTCCTCTGCAAAAATAGGACATGCTTCCCTGCCCCCCTCCAGCACACAGACACACCCACATGCCCCACACTTACTGTGCACAGCCTGGCCTTTCTGTCCCTTCTGGGCTAGGGCAAATCACTTCCCCGATGTTAACCTGGCAGCACTGACTCTGAGTGAGTAGCTTCTGTTCTGTGAGTGTGGAAACAGCTGCTCTCCTGGGGCCCAGCCCCTCTGCCTCCCGTGGGAGCCTTGGCAACCCTGGCTAGCTGCCCGCAGGACCGTGTGCTCCAGGCACATGGCCGTGCCCTGTGGAGCCTGCCCAGCTCTGGGTGGTGTGCTGGCTTGCCTTTTTTTTTTTCTTCTTCTTCTTCTTCCCTTCTCCTCCTCCCTCTTGCTTCTCTTCCCAGGAGAGCTACAACGAGTGCCAGTAAGAAGCACTTGTAATCTTGACCCTGGCAGGAGAAAGCTGAGCCCTGGAGAGTGGCTGATAGACCAGGGAAACCTGTTCTGTTCAACCTTCAAGCCAGACCCCAGGCCTGGCCCTCTCTCTCCTGCCTTCTCTGCCCCGCTGCGGTGGGCAGCGTTCCTGGAGGCTGGCGTCTGCCAAGGGTCTTGGCAGAGTCTTTCCGGTTCAGCACTGTGCCTACCAGACTAGAAAAACAGCAGTAGACAGACAGAATGAGGTGGAGGAGAAAGAAAGGTGGGGGAGCCCAGGAGAAAAAAAGCCTTGATAACATCCTAATGCAGAAAGCCAGAGGAGGAGAAGACAGCGGTGATTTATTAGGTTTCTCAGAAGCCTCTCCTCCAAGGAGCACCAAACGCTTTCCCAGGAGTCATTTTTTATGTCTCAGCAGTAAAACATGGAGGGGAGAAGGGTGATAATAGGTGAAGTAATAAAATGTGGGCACGAAATACAGTAAGTTAAGAGTGTGACAGAGAAGTAGAGGGTCTGTGTTTGATTCTGAAATGGGAGTGGTTGAGAATATTGGTTACATTTAATATTTCCCATTTATTATATTTGACATTTCTCCAGCAGTTGTCTTGAACTGAAGCCACAGATCCATTGTTTTGCCATAAACTTAAATTTCCTCTCAATTTAGCTGTCTTCTGGCTTTCTACTCACCATGTCTGGTGGAACATCCTGTGTTGGAGACAGGGATGTTACACGGGCAACGTGGCAGTGTTTCATAGAGTGCGGGATCCCATAAATGCGAGGGCGAAGTTGGACTTGGTCACTTCCGGGCTTGTTCATGGTCTCAGGCACATCGTTTCAGTGAATGAGCTTTTGATTTCCCATCCAGAGTTCTGGAATAGTCAGTCCTTGGATCTCCTTCATAAGATTGTGAGCTAGTGCATGCAGGCAATAGACACGGAGCTTGGCATATGGGAAGTGCTTGGTGGTAGCTCTCTGCTCTGGGAAGCGTCCTCCAAAACCACTGAATCTCCCATCTCACACAGGCCCTGGCATGGGACTCAGAGACAAGCGCTGATGTTTTTCCCTTCCAGGCCGACTCAGAACTCTGGTCGGGAAATGTAGGCTTCTGTGCTTGTGCTTGCTGACTAGTCTTGCTTTCTGCCTCTCTCAGCGTCTTGAGTTTTAGGAGACCTTGGGTAGCTAACTCTAACCCTTCTCGCTTCTCCTTTGATTAAAAAAAATCAAACAAAATGTTTTTCAGGAAAGTTTTTGCATAGAGTTCTGCCATGTCATATTTCCTAGTACGTTCAATCCATCCGTGGTACCATTGGCTTTTTGATTGAGGTATTACTAGTTATAATTGAAGACAATGTAATGGTTTTAGGAGTAAGGAAACCATAAAAAGAGGTTATTGTGTTAAAGAAGGGAATGTGTTTAGTTCATATTCCTGCTTAGACTTTCCACAGTCTCCCTGGAGGAATAGTTCTTCTTCCTCCAGCTTCTCCTGCCTGAACCTCCGCTGTCCGATCTGCGAAGTGACATCCTTGCTGCGCTTATGAAGGCACTAACATGGCCCCTGGCACATAGTGGAACAGCCTTTCCCACAAGTCAGTTCTGCTGCTTTCCTCTCGTAAATGATTCAGTGATCAGAATGGAGCTGAGAGGAGGGAGTGGGAGGCAAAGAGCAATATGGGTGGTCCCAGAAATAGCACCAGTCTGTGCTCTGTGCACCAGAGGGAAGACAGACAAGGGTGCGATTCGGCTGCTGGTCCTGGGATGGCCACTTTATAGGAAAGTTAGGGCTTGAAGACAAAGTGCCAACTGTTAGGACAAACCAGCATATTCTCAGGGCTGACGAACAGAGGAGAGTGAAAGGTGAATCCAGAAAAGTGAGTAAAATATTTAAAAATAAACTCTAAAGCAGTGCAGACCCTAAAAGCTTGCAGGCCTCGTAGGAAGCAGCCCTTGCTCAGGGCAGGATTGACTGGAGCGGGGTTTGCTGGGAGACCTGGACCTCGTGTTGTCCTCAGAGAGAGAGCAAGAGTGGGGAGTTGGGCTGTGTAGAGGCAGGAACGCCCACACGGTGTCGGGGCGCAAGGTGCGCATACAATTCTGCGGTGCGGAAATTGCTGGGAAGGAGCAGAGAAATGCGTGGGAGAGGCTGGTGCCAGTCCAGGTGGCGGCTTGAGTACCAGGCACTGAACTCTGTCTTGCAGAGAGTAGGGAGCCAGGGAAGGTTTTTGAGCAGGGAAGCGGCATGTGAGCGTTGCCACTTGGGTTCAAGGTTGGATTTGAAACATTTTTAGAAACTTGACAATAGTTTCCTCGGGCAAGCCAGGATTTCCTTATTTTCATTATTTTGAAAATAAATACTCTTCCCCTGAACATCAAACGGCTTTTCAAAACACGATGTTCTAATGATCTAGATGAAGTAATTCTAAAACACAGGGTTTAGGTTTCACTTGTGAAGCTCATAATTTTGGTGATTGGGGGGAACACTCTTTGGCAAGCAAATGGTTTGAGGGATTTGAATGGTTTGGAATTTAAAAGTCCAAAAGCAGGGCTGGCCTCCTAGGAGTAAAAAAATAGATTTTAATAAGCTCAACCCATTAACATTCATTGCTTTTAAATGCCTCTATTTTATACGGCCTGCTAGGTCTGCAAACAAGTATATCGAACCAATTTTTATGTGTGTTTATGTGTGCGTGCTTGTGTGTGCACATGCTTATGTGTGTGGGGTGGGGAGTTAATGCCTCAGTGATCCAAATAGTGCTTGATTATAAAAGATTACCTGCAGCAGTAATGTCAAGCTAAAAATACTTACCCAGGTTCCTGGCCAGCTTATTAATTTTACTCCTGAGAGACAAAGGAATCATTATTGCAGGTTTGTATGCTGAAGTCCTGACCTCTTGCTTGAAACCAGTGTGTGTGTGTGTGTGTGTGTGTGTGTGCATGTGTGTGTGCACGTGTGAGAAAGAGAGAGAGCGAGAAAGAGGGAGGCACTGGTAGTGCTGGCAGAGGAGTTTTGTAGCAGGAGATGGCAGAGGCAGTTCAGCTGCATGGCGTATGTACATGAAATGACTTCTTCAGGTCCCCTTCTGGTACCAAGCTAGCATTACAGGAAGCTGGAAGAACTGCCATAACCCACTCCAGTTTGCTTAAATACAAAACAACAGACAATGTGTGCAGTGTCACCTCCAGCTACATACAGTAGATAATTACAGGAACATTGGCAGAATTGCCTGCTGGGGAGAAGTGTACAGTATGTGTCTCTGGTATATTGGTATCTGGTGGATACAAGCGCCATGACTGTATGTGAAAATTCCTGAGATGTTTGTTTTCTTTCTTTTCTGACTTTAACGACTATCATTACTGTCTTCACTCACTACCTATCGAGTCCCATTTTCTCTGCTGAAAAATGACTCAACTCCCCTGTTGTGCTGGGTTCCTAAAAGTTTTGTTTTTAGAAGTTTAATCTGGGATTATTTTTAATATTATTAATGATCGTTGGAAGACTGCTTTGGAATTTGGGGTCTTATAATGAGGCATGGCTTGTGGTTAATTAAACCCCCTTGGCTCTCCAGTCTTACCCGGGAGACCCCAGATACCTAAAAACAATGAGTGCATGCTACAGAAAGATGCTCGAGGGAGCTACAACATTAAATCATCTGTGACAAAATGTTCTCTCAGAAAGTGGAACTGCATAAATGGATCTGCCGAAATAAAAGCTTTGGCAGAAACTCTTTTGAGTGGGGAAGAGCAGTGCTTTCTTTTCTAATTAGCTCTGGGTAGCAGGCTGCGCCAGAGTTTTGCTGAGAAACCCAGGCACAGACTGTGGAGCGAGAAAGACTCGGTACTGCCCTGCATGTTTCTGCTCTTTTAATTGTGCTGTCCACTCATGCACACCGAATGCTTCTTGAACTGAACCAAGTGGGAAAAGCAAAGGTTTGTTGGGGGAAGGATGCTCCTGAGCCCTGACCAATGGGGATCCACGCTATAAACCAGATGAACAAGATCCTCTAGGTATGAAGTAATCAGATTACCCAGAACAGAGATCACAATACCGCAGGATAGAAAGGTTCTTTTAAGTGTATTGGCAAATGAGCTCCATCTGCTTGTCATTTGCACAGTAGACTTAGTTCGCCTTAGGATAAATTCATTATGATGGGATTAGTATTACCCAAGAAGACCATGCAGGTTCTGCTAGAGAGAACTGTGACAATAGGAAGGTCGTCTCAGATCCCACCAGAATAGCACTGCTTTTCAAAGTGGACCCAAGAGATGTTCAGGGGAAAGAGTAGATAATACAGAATGAGAAGATGGAAATGAAACCTTGGTAGAAAAGAAGGATAAGAAAATAATTTGCAGCCCTCACTTCATAAGAATTTCATAGAATTTACTTCATTGCAATTGATTTCTATATACACTTTCCCATGAGAGCTGAATCTTGTTTCCTTATAGAATCAGAAGTATGTTTATTTCCACAGGCCAATAACATGAATGATTTTTAGAATAATATTTAGATCTGTGTCAAAACATAAGTTGTTGTTTAGCTTAAAAGTGAAATTTACCCAAACATTGTAGGTTGGTGAGTGGTTTTCAGTTATTGGATTCCTTACAAGTTTGAAGGTAGATGATAAGATTTAGCATTACATAAACTGGTGTCAAGAAGCATTGGGGGCATCCATATATGTATATATATTTTCTTTCTATCTCTAGCTTGTCTGGCAGTAACATTGCATTGATTTAGATTTTATGACTATTTGATCTCGAGTTGACTGGACTGAAGTTTATATTCTTTGTCTTCTTAATAAAGATGATTACCAAATAGATTCAGTGTCAAACATAGTTTGCAGGAGGCACATTTTACTTACATGAGTAAAAAAT